GCGGCGCCGGCCGGGCCCGAGCCGAGCCGAGCCGAGCGGTGCCCGCGGCCCCGGCGGGCACATGGGCAGGAGGGCGGAGCCCGCGGCCTGACATCACGGCTCCGCTCCCGCTCCCGGACGGCGCCGCTCGCCCTCCCGCCGCCGCGCAGAGGTGAGGAGCGCGGGGGGACGGGCGCGGCGGGGCACGGGCACCGCCAGCAGCGGCGAGGAGCCGCCACCGGGGCTCGAACCGCCCGCGCCGGGCGTGCAGTGCGGGGCAGGGCGGGGGAGGTTCGGCTCGGCTCGGCGCCGCCGGGGCTGCCCTGCCTGAGGGGAACGTCCCGGGTCAGCGGGGACTCCGTTCCGCCCCCGTTCCGCCGCACCCCCGCCGGATCCCCGCCGCCGGGCTGGGGAGCGGGGCTGCTCCCTGCCCGCGGCCCGCTCCGCCCCTGGGCTCGGGCAGGGGATCCGAGCCCTCAGGGCGCTTTCGGACGCAGCCGCCTCGGTGCGAGGGTCGATGTTGGGGCTGGGGCTGGGGCCCGGGCGGAGATTCCTGCGGGGGCCGGTGTGTCTCAATCCGGGCGGTCACTGGGGAGAGGTCGGTGGGATGCTTGCCCCGGCAGCTCCGCCGGGCTGCGGTGCGGGGTGCCCGCGGGAAGCGCTTTCCTTCCCGTGGCTGCTGGACACATCCGTGCGGATGCGGGAAACTGTCTGGCACCGGGCACAAACCCCCCCGAACGGATCGGGTTCGCTGTTCCGAGTGATGCGGGATGGATGGATGGATGGATGGATGGATGGACGGACATTCAGCCTGTGATCCTCAGGCACTTGGCGCTTAGGTTTAACTTTTCATTCTCAGCTTGCTAAATGGTTTGAGGAGATGAGTGGCTTCTTCCAGCCAGGGAGAAATCAGCACCAAGATATAAAAAAAAAAAAACAAACTTGGGGAAAATCTTGGCCAGGGCCCAGGATCCCTCAGAGGCGAGCAGGGAGCGGCCGTGGGGTTTCTGAGCCAATATAGGGACTTGTAAAAGCTACAAAGGTTGGCTGCTTTTAGGGGGGTACTTCATCATTTGATCCATGTAAGAGTAACAAGGGATGAAAGCTGTGAAGGAATTTTGTAGAGTGACTTTATAGAAACATCCCACAGGTGATGGAAGCTGGGGTGGGACTGTCCCTGTCCTGTAGCCCTGACCAGGGTGTGACATCTGCCCACGATAGATGGACACCAGGGAGCTTGTGGGAGCGTTTGTGTTTGTAATGCCAAAGCTGGGCAGAGGGGTATAGAGGACCACAGATCATTTCTACCAGAATAATCTAAATAAAACTAACACATAGAGAATTGCCTCCTGTGACAAGAAACCAAAACTGAGAGACAGCAGGGGAGGAAGGCTGTCGCCTACAGCATCAATACTCCTGTGGGCTGAGGAGATGCAGGACTAATAAGATTTAAATACTGCATCAAGCTTTTGTTTTCTTCTAAAATCACATTTGCTGTGAAACAAATGTATAGTAATATAAGATGCCACAGTCACTGCACATATTTGATTTCCTCTGTGATTGTAAAGGAGAAAATGTTGATGACTCAACAAGTTTGTGTTTAACAAAACCACATAAAACTCCAGGAAAACATGCTCTTTGACAGCATAATAATTTTTTGGTTGTTTATTTTTGCTCTTTTTTTTTGTTTTGAGGTTGTTTGGCTTTTTATTGTTAAGAACTATGCTTTGATTATGACCTTGTAACATCACACCCATAAATAGAAGCAGGTTTAGATTCAGGGGAAACACATTTTTTCCGATGATGGAAGAAGTAGGCCAGCCATGCCAGCTCTCTTGAGAGGTGGGAAAGGCAGTGGCAGTTGTGATAATGTCACACACCAGAAATTAAAACAGACCATTTTTTTTATCTATAAGTTTACCATCACTGATTAGAGTTAGCTTTTTGTCAACATCATAATGGAAGAAAATGCTGTTTTCAGATTTGAATTTACTGCTTCTTCATAGGTTTTCCTATGCAGACCTACAGTGAATTAAGCAGCTTCCCATCTTCATCTAAGTTTAAGTGAACTGTCACTTAACTGAAAGTAAAAAGCTTCTGAAAGTATGTCAGTGATGTGGGAGCGTCCAACACATTTCCAAAAGCCTTTACATACTCTG